CATTGCAGTAGCAAATCCCAGAAGTATATATCCGGAAGTGCCTATTACCTTCCACCTTTGAACCGTTGTTGATGCTTTCTAGCTTAATTCCCAGTTATCGCCTGTCTTTGATGGCGAAGTCATCAGTCTTGCGGCGACGTAACCACCTTTGGTAGAATGCTATGTAGTTCATCGGACAGGTATTAAAATCTTTCACTGTACCACCACTTTTCTGTCAATTAAATAGAGAAATAACGCTTCGTGTCTATAAATTGGCATATGTCAAAAATAGCTTCATTGTTTACGCATACAGAAGATTCTACAATGTAAAACTCAGAAATTCTAAATAACCTCTCATTAAAATCCTAATATTTGCTTAAGAAAAATTCTTTTCCTTTAACTTGCAACTTTTAGATGACAGTAATGGGAAAAGAGAATCAAGAAGAGGGCCTGATGCTTAATACCGACTTGTACCACACATGTCGCTCGGCGGCATTCATGGCTATTTCGACAAATCAATATTAGCTTTTGCTGTTATACAATATGTTATTAACAGGTTACAGACGGCGTGTACAAATAACTACGAAAATAACAGGTTGAAACGTTTTAGTTGGCAAAAGCCGACTATGATGTAATTCCTACCAGTATGATCAAAAGACAAGAATTTGATAAGTATTAGAATAAGTAATTAGATAAGAATTAAATAAGAATTTTATAAAATGATAAAAAGCAAAAACTTATCAAAACCGTTTTCAAAAAGCTTTATGCAGAGTGCCGGCCGAAACGTAAAACGGCGTCGTACAAATTTAATGAATCTAGTATTCAAAATATTTGTTACTCTTTATCTATTCTTTTTTTAAAGTGTTGAAAACTAGACTTTTTTGCCACTAACTTTCCATGATAGTCCCTATAATTGGTCACAAAAATAGACCGGTGTGGTCCACGGTTGGCACAGTACATTAATATAAATATTAATGACTGTTTTGGAACAATCTTCTTTATAAAATAGCTGAACATAGAAAGAAAGCATGGACAAACTTGGTATTTTGGAAAAATACAAATTCTACTATGATAACGATCTCAAGCATAAATCCCGCTTAATTCGAGAATAGCTCTTACATAACAGCCCGAAGGTGCTGGACAGTCTTCCACGAATCACCCCAACAAAAATATGTGGGTTGAATTAAACCGTCCTTTGTGAAAACATTCAATCCTTTCCGTCCAAGATCTGAAAAATAGACTACAAAAAGAGTAGAGTGCGGTGCTTGTTTCCTACAGAAGAAAAATTATACAATAGATGGCAAAAGGTTTAAAAAACATTCTCAAGCAAAAAAAATACCCCACCAAATATTAATTTTTAATAATAAGCGGGATCTTTTCGTATTCTTCTTTACATGAAAGTAAAGTCTCTGAAGTTATTTAATTTTCTTGTCTACTAGAATTATGTTCTTTTCTTTTATTTTTTAACATGCATTCCTTAGTAGTACAAAATAGTAAAAATAAATTTTTATGTTTGAACAATGGGCTAGGTTTAACAAGCGATTAATTTCTGTCGAGTGAAAAATCCAATATTAATTAGACTCACTGTAGTCTTTGCCCATTGAACGACTGTTATAAATGACGTTTACGTTGTTCAATATTAATTAGAATAGGTTATCAAAGCGGTCTGACGCAATCTAACTTTGAATAGTGCATAACAGGATATTTTGAAAATTGTAGTCTGGAAATTGTCTCTGTATACATGGGCGCATAAAATTGACGTAGGGTACATTAAAAATTTCTACGTGAACAACAACAACAAAATGCGGTTTAAAATCCATTACCTGGAAAAAAAATTTTTCTATTTTTCTGAAAACATATACATGTTTAATTTTCATTTGTTGCACACAAAAAACGAAATTTATGCAAGTTACGAGCACCAACTTCATATGCATGTGATAAAATACGAACGCTAGGTTTAGAGAAAATGTAAGCTTACCGCCGGTCAACAATAGTTTAGTGTCTATGCACAATTGTCGTTAGTTGACTGGAAAGTATTTTTTATAAAACGAATATTCGGTTTTATGTATGTAATAATGCGTGTTAATGCATGCAGGCAAGCAAGCAAGAGCAGGCATACATGTCAATCACTCGACTATCTCGGTAGTTGGTTGCATACGTTGCTGTCTGATTTTCTAAAATAGTCCGCTTCTCCGTCAGTTTTGCTGGCTATATGGTGTGTGAGGCTTTCTGTCTATTTAACTGTTTATTTGTCTATTTCGGTTATTCTTCCCATTTATTACTTCCATCAGAGCGTGTTTTTCGTTTCTTCGTTAAGTTTGTTTCTTCTTTAATATGTTTGAATGAGCACAAGGCAATCTTTTTATTCGTGGTTTATTTGTTGCATTTCAAATTAAATTTTTATGTTATATTGTATTATTTGTATTTAGACGATACGAACCGTGCCGTACATACCAATGGCTGTTAGATTGTTATCTGCGCTAATTCAAAGCAAGGTACACGGTATATTAAGTTAGTGCCGGCGAATATAACACCCAGAAGGGTTCAAGGTAGACGCACCTTTTATTATACCGACAGATTCAGAATCATTTTCTAAACCGATCTAAGCCTGTGTGTCCATCCGAGATCAATCCATGCATTTTTGTGTTCAAGGCGCACGTTGTCCTTTTTGAGATATTTTGATGAAATTTGGTACACTGACGTGCTTTGGCTCAAGGATGAACTCAGTTTAAAACGGTTTGGATTGTTCCACTTTTTCGAAATTTTGAAAATTTCTCGTCAAAAGTGACTAGGTAGTAGAATTTCAGCATTCTAAATCGGCGTGAACACTTTGGAGCAGCTGGGGCAATTTTTTGAGAAATCTACTTCACCGAATTTGGACCAGATAGGCCTATTTTTAGGCGCCACCGCATATAAGACCTCTCATGAACGTAAACGTCTATATGCCAAAAAAACGTAATTGTTAATTTTTTGTGATGAAAATTTGCTCTTGATAGTAATAAAATATAAGAAGTAAGAACATATATTCGGGCAAGGTCGATCATTAAATATCCTACACCACATTGTGTAATACAATTTTTAATGCAGAACACAAACATTATATCTTGTTTACATATAAGCTTCAGAACAGAATATCAATTCAATACATTACTTTTCTAAAACTCCTAGGTTCAATATCTAATGTACATTTATATAAATTAGAGCCGATAGCCTGTGTTGCTAGTACTCAACGTCTTTTTTTTTAGTTTAAGAATTTAAAATTGTGATAAATAAATTATAATAATAATAATAATATATATAAAGGCATATTTTGCATGTGCATAGTTCTGGAAAAGCGGGCTCCATCATCGTGAAGCATTGAAAATTATACCTTTTTGTTGTATGAACTTCAGTTTTCGCTATGTGTGAGGGGGTTCAAAAATTACCACAGCCGGTCCAAAGTTTTCATACCGATTTAGAATGCCGAAATACTACTGCTTAGCCACTGTTGACGAGAAATTTTGAAAATTACGAATTTTTCCATATAACGACTTTTCGGAATAGGACGTTATACTTCCGATGAAGTGGTCGAAGAAATGTACCGATCCGAACGATTTTCAACAGCGTTCGTCCATGGGGGAAAACACCTCACTGTACCAAATTTCATCAATAATCTCCAAAATTGCGATGTGTGGCTTGAAAACAAATTACATGGGCAGACGTCAGACGGACAGATAGGCTTACATCAATTCAGACAATGATTCTGAATTGATCAGTATAACAAAAGGTAGATCCATCTTAAGTTCTTCTGCATAAGTCCACTTACCCTGTGCCACAATCGGTGCAGCCTGTTAAAAATTAAGTGGACATCATTTGAACCAAATGGGTCTATTTTGGGAATTTGAGTTACATATTTTTTACATACCCACTTATCGTTAAATCTACCCTTCCAATATGCGGGTTTTCATGACAATTATGTAAATAATGTGTACTTTTTGGGATATTATTACCAAAAGGAGCGAATAATTGTACTAGGCGAAGTGATATAGGGTATGTAAATGTCGGCGATGCCCGACTATAATTTTCTTGCTTGTCTTACCATATGCAAATTTGTTTACTTTCAAACTTCCTCTGCCTGTATTTTGCATATGTAAATAAATGAATTTGTTATCATAAATAGCTTTAATTAATTTTAAGATATCAAATCTTCAGAAAGAAAGAGATAATTTAAAGGTATATATATGTGCGTGCGTGTCTGCGTGTTAATTCTTCAAGCCTTTCGAGTAAGTTCGAATGTAATTTATTTCCAGCAATTATTTAAAGTAATTGCAAATATACTTATTCCTTTATTGAAATGATAAACAGATTCGTCTAAATACTTTGAAAAAAAGCTATGGCAAAATAAGTAATAGAATCTATGCAATGTACCAAAATTTAAGTAAACCATTATCCGCAGAACGGATGAAGATAATGAAAGGTTAAGGAAAAATTAAGAAGAAAAGGATGTTTTCGGATCGATTGCAATGCACTTTTTAATTAACGTCAGAAATTTAAAAAGCCATAGACGTTTTGTAAGTTCATCAACTTTCTAAATTTTTCCCTTTTGCTACAGCTGATTTTTACCATAGATTGCAACTTTTTGCATCCTACTTAAAAGAAACCCTTACAAGAGATTTTTAAATGAATTGAGTTGATTGTTGTAGGTGTAATTAAAGTCTATCCCCATAGTAGTTCTGATATTCTCTACAAACTCTCTACATATATGTGCATACAGTAGGAATTCTTTTTCGATTTTCTCGAAAAGCTATTCCTTGCATTCTTTTTTTGTCTAAGCTTATACATTTAAAAAGAATTGATAATGATAAAAATTTTATATTCATATTTCAATTTCAATTCATATTCAAATTACATATTGACAATGGAGTTGCGTTTTATATAACAACACAATAATGATATGAAAAGAGGATATACGAACATAGGTAATTTAAATGAAATATCGAAATAGTGACATGGTTTCAATAGTTATAAGAACAGAAAATATTTTACATCATGCCGCCCATGCCTCCCAAGCCGGCCATTCCACTCATGTTAGCAGGGTCGCCTCCTTCTTTTGGAATTTCTGTAACTACAGCTTCGGCGGTGGTCAAAAGAGAAGCTACTCCAGAAGCATCTACTAGAGCTGTACGCACCACTTTTGTAGGATCAATTATACCCTTTTCAATTAGATTGCAATATTCGCCTTTGAGAGCATCATAACCATATTCGCCTTCTTTGGATTCGATCGTAGCTACAACCATAGCTCCATCAACGCCAGCATTTTGGGCAATAGTCATGCAAGGCATACGTAAAGCACGGCAAACAATTTCAATTCCCATATTTTGGTCGTGGTTATTAACTTTTAAAGCTTCTAGTTTAGCTATGCAACGTAACAATGCAGTGCCCCCGCCTGGTACGATTCCCTCCTCAATTGCAGCTCGAGTAGCATTAAGAGCATCCTTCATACGATCTTTTTTTTCATTAACTTCCACTTCGCTCGAACCACCCACACGCAACAAAGCTACGCCAGCAGCCAAACGTGCTAAACGTTCTTGCAATTTTTCTTTTTCGAAATCCAAAGTTGTTTCAGCAATTTGATCTTTGATTTGTTCAATACGACGTTGAACATCTTCTTTCTTGCCCTTGCCTTTCAAAAGTAAAGTGTCATCTTTAGTAATGACTACTTCGCCAATTTTACCCAAATCGTTAATGTTAACGTCTTCCAATTTAACGAGATTGGCATCATCACCGAAAACAATGCCGCCTGTAGCTATAGCCATATCAGTGAGAGCAGCTATACGTTTGTCACCGAATCCTGGGGCTTTAACTGCCGCCACTTGCAAGCCAATCTTCAAACGGTTTACTACCAATGTACTCAATGCCTCACCATCGATATCTTCGGCAATAATAACTAACGGCTTGCGATGTTGATTGGCTAGTTCCAGACAGGGTATAATGCTTTGAACTGATGAGATTTTTTTGCCTGAGAACAGAACAAACGCATCTTGGAATTCAACTTTAGCACCTTTTGATGAGTTGATAAAATATGGTGATATATATCCGTGATCAAATTTCATGCCTTCAATCACTTCCAGTTCATCGGTAAGCGTTTTGCCGTCTTTAACAGTTATAACACCATCGCGGCCTACCCTTTTCATGGCTTGGCTTATCAAATTACCAATATTATGATCACCGTTAGCTGAAATTGTAGCTACCTGCGCGATTTCTTCTGGAGTATTAACTGGACGTGACATACTTTTTAAATGATTCTTAACGACGTCAACGGCCATCATTATACCACGGCGTATCTCGAGAGCATTTGCGCCTTTGAAAATCTTGTCAAAACCTTCCTTTGCAATCGCACGAGCAAGCACAGTTGCAGTCGTTGTTCCATCGCCCGCTTCTTCGTTGGTGTTATTGGCCACATCTTGTACCAACTTTGCACCAATGTTTTGGTATTTGTCTTTTAAGTCAATTGATTTAGCCACTGTGACGCCATCTTTGGTTATTTTGGGTGAACCCCATGGCTGTTCAATAATGACGTTACGTCCTTTTGGACCCATTGTGACGGCAACAGCATCGGCTAACACATCGACGCCTTGCAACATCATAGCACGAACTTCCGGACCCATTTTTACATCCTTGGCATAGCCTCGCACTGTTAATTGGCTCGTAATTCTTGAACAGGCAAGCGTCACAGGTAAACGGAACATTATTTTGTCTTTTTATGAAATTTACGCTAAATGAAATTTCTCTTGATATTAATTGCCTTCACGGCTTTCAGAAAATTGGAATAATATGTGCCTCTAGCAAGTTCGAAAGTTTGAAATGAAAAAATTCTGTTTCTGAATAAAATCTTGTGAAAAAAAAATCACTTATGTCAGTATACATCAGAACCAAGAAATGTCAAAGAGAAGACGTTGCCACAAATTGCGATTTCAATATATTGAAGTCAAGGACAATTTTTCTCAAAAACTATTTGCTTTGGCATATTAAGGCTAAAAGAAAAATCATAGTAGGCTAAATAATTCATTTTGAGGTTCTTTTATTAAATTCAGCAACAAATATGAACGATATTTGCGAGGAAAAAAGAGATTTCAAGTTAAATTTGCTTTTGACGTTTTTCAAGTCGTACATTTTGAATATAAAAAATTTTGATTAGCGTTTCTTAATTTTAAATATAGCCACTTCATTCTCCTTTTGACGCTGTACTCTTTTAGATTGTGTCAATTTTGGCAAACTTTCAATGATAAAGTTGCTTCAATAATTTTTAAAGCAACCATGATTAAATAATAAAAAATTTTCGTTTGGTTAATGAAATATTACTTAATATCTCTATAAGTGACGTTTATTTAAGCGGCATTGTTTTCTACGAGCTGACCCTGGTTAATATTTAAATTTCCATTATTTTTGAACGGAATCATAAACAAGTCAAAAGGATATTTCAACGCGTTTTGACCAAAACTGCAAAGAACAAATTAAGACTAACACTATTGCATAGTACAAGTTTTGAAGGACTTGAAGAACAGCAGCTCCTTCCCCTTCTCTCTCTCACTCTCTCGCAGTAGATTAGCGTCTCTAAGATTTGTTGGCATTTTTGTAAAATCTTGCCTTCAATCCATTTTCATATTTTCATAATCATATGTTTTCATGTTCTCATAATCTCATATTATTTAGTTCCCATATTTTATATTTCCACGTTTTTACACTCCGATATTCTGTACATTCATATTCTATATATTTGTTTTAGTGTTGTCATATTAAATAGGTAGAAGTCTTTCTGTAAGAAGGACTTTCTGATTTTGATTTTTTACAATCTATATTCTTGAATTTTTCAGGACCCAAAGACATTGCAGTCATATTAATTTATTTGACTGGAGTTCTATAATGCTGGTGAACGGACATATTGTTACAGCTGAAGTAGTTTAGGAACTTAAACCGATAAAGAAAGGAAAATGGACAATATTGTCGATTGTCTTACAGTGAATTGTAACGGAAGTATACGAAGTGTTAAAAAACGGGAGTGGGAGAGTTATATTTGGCCGGGGCCCAGTCGTGCATATCCACCATCATTAAAATCTCTAGCGCCCCATCCTTTTATTTTTTATCTTCTATTTCTTCTATTTCTATTATCATAAAAAATGAATGGGATAAAATTTATATTTCACCTTTTACTTCACTAAAAGGTATTGTTAAAAAAAACTAATCTACGACGTCGTAACGTCCGCCATAATCATCTAAATTTTTACTTAGAGAAGCGTAATTATATGCACGTTACGCTTTGCTGTGCGCATGTGCTACGACAAATTTGGCTTTTTTTCAACGCTAACTTGCAGTAAGTTCCAATGTTTCTACCAAGTTTGAAGTTATCTTTTGCGACTAGGAGAACATGCACCGCACACAGACGTGGCTTAATCGATGCAGAACTTCATGCTGATTGGAAATATATATCTTTAATAAAGTGTGTGAAGATTCCTTTTGGATGCCGCAAAATGAGTATACCCCGTCCTTAGGCGGTTGCTATTATCATTAAATTGCAATAATTTGCTGAAATATAGTTTTTACGAATCTTCCTCCACGTTACCATATTCAAGGGTGCATTAATATTTCTTTATATGAATTGCATGTCTGGCCCCTTAGTTTGCCAGTGCTCCTCAGTTGGTTTTATTTAGTAATTTGGCCTTTGTTGCTAACTTATTCGTGTTTGTTGATCATACAATGAAGGAACATTATGCTAACTTAGACTCTTTGACTTTTTTACATGCATTATTGGAGTTTTCTTTTTTTTACCTTTTATGTGCTTTTTTGCTGTAGTGCATCTGTGCATGAATGTGTGTTCGTGTATTGACGTTTTTAGCCTCTTTTTCTCTTCACATGCGAATTTACTCTTTCTGCTTTTTTTTTTTAAGTTCTTTACGTAGTGTGCATTCATACTGGCGTTTGAATGCTTTCTGCATAAAAATCAATTAAGAATTTTGAGGTCGGCGCTTATGGGTATTCTAAAGGGATATTCAATACATGCAGACTTAAATACCGGTAATATAGACAGAAAAATAAATTCAACAATATTTATGTTTTAGATATTGAATATAACATTTTATGTACACACGTATTTTCACCAATATTTGAATTTCTTCCTCTCTTCGCTTATTTCATTTTATAAATTTTTATTTAAAAATTGAAGAAAATTTTCTACTACCTCTATCAGTTTATTTGCTTCAAATTGCAGTAGAATTTGCTATCGTTTCTCTTTTCCTCTTTGTAAGAATATTACTAATAATTGGTAGAAATTTGTGCTGTTGCTCGCACTTTAATATCAGCTCGATTGGTTAAGTTTTGCACAAGATTGAACTATGATTCTGTTGTGTGACGTCGTACACAAAGAAATGAACAACAATGCAACAACAAGTTTCTTTTCTAAACTTCTGTACATAGCACACAATGTTTGCATTAAAGTTTTACAGATGTTTGTGTGTGAAAATGTGTTTTCCGTTTACTATATTATTGTTAGTCTGTGCTGTTGTGCACTTTTCCTATAAAAGAAAAAGAAAGTTACACATTTCGTTTTTTTATTTTTTCTATTTGTGCTTTAGTTCCTTTCGATTTACTTACTTTGTTCTGTGTTGTTTGTTTGTATTTGAAAGTGTTACCGCTTGGTACACAAACTTTGCAAAAAAAAAAAAAAAAAAAAAAGGCACAAACTTTTTCTTTTTTTGAAAGAGAGAAGAGCGATAGAAAACTTATTTAAAGATAACTACTTTGTGTCGGTTTGTCCATATGTAAGCGTGTTCGTTCTCATTTATTCCATTGTATTCGTTTTTCATTGTTGCTTGGCAGTTCTTCTTGCCTTTGCTGATAATTAAACCGTATCATATATATACAATAAACGGTAATTGCTTCAGGTGAATGGAAAACACTTTGATTGATGCTAATGAGTAGAATTAGATAATTAAAGCTGAAAATCCGTGCAATTCTCTTGTTTTGCGAGACTCCGCAGAAACGTAAACTTTCAAAAATCTGATTTTGAAAAACAAAAGGAAAATGCAAGACTACTTCCAGATAATACAAAATTCATTGCAAAATTGAAGCAAATTTACATTTTGCGTTTTAAGCCGCCTTAAGGCGTAAATTTATTGGTGTAAACTGATTTTGTTCATCATGAGTAATATTACTAATTATCTTGAGAAGCTTTGCATTTACCTCTTAAAACCTATAAGACTTCTGCTAATTATCTTTCACGAAGTGATTTCGAGTTCATTGTATATATGAACTGAGCTGAGCTAAGGGTTTTTTGTTCTTATGCGTGTTTAGTAGATCTATGGGCGTATTAATTCATTAATGTTTCATAAAGGACGTATTATTATGCGCTTACTATTGTTATAATGCCTGCTTGCTCTCAACGGATGTTTTAAAATATTAAGTTCGTAACAGTCAAACAATAAACAATTGTTCCTGAGTTTTTTTTTTGGTTATATTACTTAATGGATCTCTTAAAACAGCAGTTGTCCTTATTTCGCGGAACGCCTGTAATCTGGTGTGGCGTCGTTCGAGAAACCTCAATTAATGTGACTAAAAATATGCTTGTTTGTTGTGTCAGTCATGGAGATGTTAAAAGTGTGATAAGAAACATTTCACTTTACAATTCGTACTTGTTCTTTGCCAGTACCTGCAGAGTAGATAAAACACTTTTTGGAATTACTTACAATGAGTCGAAAGGAATCTCTCACGTTTATTTCGTTAAGCAAACAGGGAAAAAACGAACTTCTTTTTAAGAAACTCTCGATTCTCTCTCGTTAGGTGTGTTCTCTTAAAATCGTACTAATGCTTTACCTAAATATTTCAAGTTGGCCAAAAAAGTAGTGATGAATTCCGATCCTCGTGGCTTGAATATTCTTATCACTTTTTTCATCATTGCGTGTTATGTAAAATGGAAATCAAAGACCTAACCAATGAGGTTCGAGCTCATGATACTATCTGCTCTGAAACTGGGCTTTGATTTTTCTATAGTGCTTTTTTTTAAATAAAAAATAAGTTTTATTAAACATACGAGGAAGCTGCGTAATCCAAAAGGCTATAAATGAGTCTGGTTAGACCTAAAGTTGAATATGCCTATGTATTGTGGTCGCTTTCCTTATCGGGGCTAAGCTCAGTCAATCAAATCTGTCCAGAATCAATCCTTATCCTTAGGGGTCCAAATTGGGGTCCACTAATGTCTCTTTTAACGTATGAGAAAAGATTGCATTGCTTTCAGTGGAGAAAGATAGGGTGATCCTACATTTTTTCTTCCTAGTGGACTTAATAAATGGTGTAACAGATTCGCCGCCTTTGTTAAGCGAGGTAAACTTCAACACTGCTAACTGCTTTTCAAGAAAACTTATTTTCATAAAATTCAATGAATTATGAGATACTTAACCCCGAAGGACAAATCTTTAAACATTATCAAATCAATCTTTTAGTACTAGCTTATATTTCTCCAAATTAACTTTTAATCTTTAATGCTTCGCACGATTCGTTGCTAAGCTTGATATATTTGTCACTATGAGATCATACGCTTTTGGATTAGTTTGGTGGTATTACCCTATGGTGTATCTGTACCGCCTGAAATTGTGCCTCTGTGTGACACGTCGATATGATTTTTTTTCTACTATTTATTTACTTACATACGGATTTTGTTATTTTGTTTTTAAGCTGTGTTTTTTATTTATAACTTATA